TACATCCACTAGTACATCTACTAGTACATCCACTAGTACATCCACTAGTCCAGCTGTACATCCACTAGTACATCCACTAGTCCATCCACTAGTCCATCCACTAGTCCATCCACTAGTACATCCACTAGTCCAGCTGTACATCCACTAGTACATCCACTAGTACATCCACTGGACCAGCTGTACATCCACTACGTGACAAGTGCTCAGTTCTGAAGATCAGCTCAGTCAGCGGAGTGGTACTGCAGTCATGAGAATCTACCGCAGGATGGAAAGATACCACAACCCCAGTGTTTTCTTGTCCTATCTACATTAAAAACCCCCAGTGAAAACAGTTCATAACAAAAAGTGAGCTTAAGAAGAAGTGACACTTTCACTGTTTAAAATATGGAGATATGACTAGAAAGCCCCTAGGTCCCAATACACAGGCTCTAAAATGTTGAAGAAATAGAAATATCCATTTTCTACACGTGCAAGTATTTTGACGAAACCTGAGCAAAGGAACTTTTTGTACACGTAATCATTTCCTTTGTCCAGGTTCAGTCAAAATACTTTGTACGAGTATCTATGGATAATTTCTATTTCGTTAAAGTTTTCGAGCTAGTGTATCTTTCCATCGTGCGGTAGATTCTTGTGACAGTACTACCACTCACTCGACTGAGCTGATCATCAGAACTGACCACCTGCCTCACACAAGAAATGTAGGAATTGTCTTTAAAAGTCTCAACACAAGAAATGTAGGAATTGTCTCAAAAGTCTCAATGCAAGAAATGTAGGAATTGTCTCAAAAGTCTCAATGCAAGAAATGTAGGAATTGTCTCAAAAGTCTCAACACAAGAAATGTAGGAATTGTCTCAAAAGTCTCAACACAAGAAATGTAGGAATTGTCTCAAAAGTCTCAACACAAGAAATGTAGGAATTGTCTCAAAAGTCTCAACACAAGAAATGTAGGAATTGTCTCAAAAGTCTCAACACAAGAAATGTAGGAATTGTCTCAAAAGTCTCAACACAAGAAATGTAGGAATTGTCTCAAAAGTCTCAACACAAGAAATGTAGGAATTGTCTCAAAAGTCTCAACACAAGAAATGTAGGAATTGTCTCAAAAGTTTCAACACAAGAAATGTAGGAATTTTCTTAAGGGGAGACGTACACTCCAGGAAAATTATTTCTAAACGAATGACTTTTATTCACTTTCATGTAATTGTGCAAGAAGTTCATTGGTAAATAGGATGTACTAAGGGTGAATTTGTTGATTTTTTCAGAAAAACGGGTCTCTGTGGCGGCCATCTTGGATTTTCAAACCAGTTTCTTAGTGCAGAAGAATTTCCTAGTGAATATTGAAACAACAGCCTGGAATTTGGCACACAAGTACAAACCTATATGAACTGGGGATCCATGTGAGGATTTTGACTTACTTTAAAAATAAAAAAGAGAGGCCAAAGTCAATGGGCCCCCGAGAGTCAGCTGATGAAATTTTGGGGTATATGTTAATGTTACAAAAAATTTGAATATTTCCACAAGTTACCAATATTTCCCAATTTCCTCACATAGATCCCAAGAATAGACCTTTACTTAAAGAACTAGTATGCCAAATTGGAAGCTTCTAGCTTCTGTAGTTTTTGAAAACTCTTTGCACCAAGGAGGTCACATATGTCAAAAAGTAGATTTTGAGAAAAACAGAAAAAACACGAATTTTCAAAAAGATGTTTAGTGCAATATTCACTTTTCAAATGCCGTTTTAGGTAATTTACGGTATTTTTTCAACAGTTTTCGCCGTTGTGACCCGACACATGTCAAATGAAGTTTTTCGGCAAAAAAACAAAGTTGGATAGTTTAAAAATTTTCATAGATATTCTCTGGGATCGCCGACCCGGCTCTTCCCTTAAAATCCTCAATACAGCCATTTCTTTTCCCCATCTCTCAAGCGGTCCAGCCTGGGGCAGCTCCCATGGTCTAGTGCTTGTGTCACATGGTGGGAAACTCGCTCATCGCCATCACGCAATTTTATTATTATCATTATAATTACTATAAATAAAATTACAATTATAATGATTATAATTATTACAATAACAATTATTATTACTATTATTATTACAATAATTATAATAATAATAATAATAATAATAATAATAGATAGCATTTGTATAGCGCATATCCCCGCTCAACAGCAGGCTTTATGCGCTTTACACTATATTATTACCCCAGCAGACCATAGTACACTCCGAAACATTCTCTGCTTCCCGGGAAGCATACAGTGCGAGCAGCCGATTAAGCGCTCAAACACTAACAGACTGACAAGATCTTTCGCTGTCTATAGCCGGGTACCCATTCTCACCTGGGTTAAGTGAGGAAAATTCGTGTAAAGTGCCTTTCCCAAGGACACAACGTCGGGCCCTTGACGGGATTCGAACCCACGACCTTACGGTTGCGAGTCCGAGAGCCTAACCACTAGGCCACCGACGCCACATAAATAACTATTATTATTATAATTCTTCTTCTTCTTAAATTTGTTAAATTATTATTATTACTATTATTCTAATTATCATTATTATCATTATTACTATAATTATAATTACAATTATAATAATAATTATTATTATAATTCTTCTTCTTTTTCCTACTTTTATTATTATCATTACTATTACTATTATTGTAATAATCGTGTGTGTTGCTCACCATCAGTGCGAGGAGGCCCCAGGTCAGTCTCGTCCCAGGAAGGCTCTGTACGCCTGGCACAACACCTGGCCACCCTCGGCCACCAGCGACTCGCCGGCCACGCTCACAGACAGACGGGCGCAGTGGACGAAAGCGTCGCTCGGCGAGCAGCTGGGGAACATGCCACAGACAACAACACACTTGTACTTGCTGTGATGGTGATAATAACACTACTAACAAAGTAATAACAAAAGTATTTAAGACACACCACAAACAACACACTAGTACTTGCTGTGATTGTGATAATAACACTACTCACAAAATAATAACGAGGGTAATAATAATAATGATTTACAAAAATAATAATAAAAACAATGATAGGAATAATAATAATTATATTAATAATGATAACGATAATAATAGAGTGTCAGTCTTGTAAAAGTTTTATGGCGTTTGCAACTGCATCAAGTCATGTGAACACACAGGACACAAGTTGGTCGTCTTCACCATTAGTTCACAGCATGTCTTGGTCATGATGATAGTAATAATACTTACAGTTTTAGTTTTAGTAGAGGTTTTACGGCGCTCGCAACTGCATAAGGTCATATGAGCATCAGAAGATTAGATGTGTTACAAGAGAGTAACAAACATAAAAAAGAAGAAGGGGAGATAAGGACGATAGATGTTTGGTAGGAAAGAAGAAGCAAACCACACCAGAGCACCCGCCAACCACCAACACACTACTACTACTACTACTACTACTACTACTACTACTGCTACTACTACAACTACTACTACTACTACTACTACTACTACTACTACTACTACTACTGCTACTACTACAACTACTACTACTACTACTACTACTACTACTACTACTACTACTACTACTACAACTACTACTACTACTACAACTACTACTACTACTACTACTACTAATACTACTACTACTACTACTACTACTAATAGTAATAATAATAATGTAAATAATGTTAATAATAAAAATAATATTAATTATATCAATAATATTTATAATAATACTAATACTTTGGATAATAATAATAACAATAACGATGAAAATAATAATTACATTTACCTGGCACACCTTCACAGTACAACAGGCACTTTGCACTGTATGACTATTATTACCTCGGTAGCCCCTGGACAACTAAGACACATTCTCAGCTTCCCGGAAAGAACACAGCATGATACTCGTTCCCCATAGGCGGGTTTTCAACGCCCCTTTCAACACTGGAAGGGTATGTTCAGTTTTATAGAGGTTTCACGGCGCTCGCAACAGCATAAGGTCATATGAGCGCCAGAAGAATAGACGTGTTACAAGAGAGTAACAAACATAAAAAAGAAGAAGGGGAGATGAGGACGATAGATGTTTGATAGGAAAGAAGAAGTAAACCACACCAGAGCACCCGCCAACCACCCACACTGTAGGGGTATAATGAGAGGCGGAATCTACGAATGTCCCGTCCATTTCCGAGAGTGAACAATACTGCCGTGCTAAGGCAGAGCGACGTATCTGCACTTGTTATGATTTTGAGTTACGTCGCGCTGCCATTGGAAATATGGGCATGGCCCTTCATTAAGTCTGTTTGCCATAGTGAAATCTCCTATTTGTAGTGCAGATACGTCTGTTTGCCATAGTGAAATCTCCTATTTGTAGTGCAGATACGTCTGTTTGCCATGTGAATCTAGTAAAATCTCCTATTTGTAGCGCAGATACGTCTGTTTGCCATAGTGAAATATCCTATTTGTAGCGCAGATACGTCTGTTTGCCATAGTGAAATATCCTATTTGTAGCGCAGATACGTCTGTTTGCCATAGTGAAATCTCCTATTTGTAGTGCAGATACGTCTGTTTGCCATAGTGAAATCTCCTATTTGTAGTGCAGATACGTCTGTTTGCCATAGTGAAATCTCCTATTTGTAGTGCAGATACGTCTGTTTGCCATAGTGAAATCTCCTATTTGTAGCGCAGATACGTCTGTTTGCCACAGTGAAATCTCCTATTTGTAGCGCAGATACGTCTGTTTGCCATAGTAAAATCTCCTATTTGTAGCGCAGATACGTCTGTTTGCCATAGTAAAATCTCCTATTTGTAGTGCAGATACGTCTGTTTGCCATAGTAAAATCTCCTATTTGTAGTGCAGATACGTCTTCCTGCCTTTGACACAAGATGCAGAATGGGTATGGGCGTCCATTTAAACGTAGATACAAAAATGAATAATTTTTGCAGATACGTCGGTCTGCCTTGGCACGGCAGAGTAGACGGTGGAGAAATGTGAAAACTCCTTCAAACAACCCAAATTCAAGATAGTTCTGTTGTAGATTCAAACCAGGGCCATCCATAACATAGCCAAGCATGGTACCAACTGAGCTAACGAGCCATCGCCCTGTCTTCCTCAAAGTCTCTAGCAGAAGGGGTCGATGAGTCGCTTGTTTTTGTCGACTAGCGTCATGGTGGAGGCTTCTCACTACAACTACCGTTTCCCTCACATCTTGTTTTAGTAAGGTTATACAGCCGTACTGACTGAAGTGTCTTTAGGCCATTCCTAAAGGGGGGATATTAACATGTTCTTATGCACAGTAGATTTGTAAATGGGCTGATTTATCAATGTCATGCTCATACTGTGCTGGATCAGCATATGGGAAACTGCTGCTTTTTCTTTCCTCATCCTTACTATCATCATTTTCCTCTACTTCTTTTGTATGTTTGTCACTCTCTTGTGAACTATTATTTCCAGCGTGCCTTGATAGTCGAAGCAGACCTTGTGCTGTTGAAGCTAGAGAGGTGAGCAGAGTAAGTCTGATTCCCCGTTTGGACTTCTCTGTTGACATCCACCCCTTGGTGCTCATATGACCTTATGCAGTTGCGAGTGCGGTAAAACCTTACTAACACTTAACAAACAAAGTATCAGACTTACTGCACTCCAGGTAAAAAGTTCACTCCAAACTTTTTTGTAGCAAAGTTCAGAAACTCAGAAGCGTCCGTGTCCTTCCGTAGTTGCAGCCACAAGAAGAAGCCACCCTGCACAAGAGAGAAATTTCCATTACTTGAGACAAGTTATTGAGTCGCGTTACTGAAGCAAAGATCTCCCACACTTATCTAAAGCAAAGATCTCCCAGACTTATCTAAAGCAAAGATCTCCCAGACTTATCTAAAGCAAAGATCTCCCACACTTATCTAAAGCAAAGATCTCCCACACTTATCTAAAGCAAAGATACACTTACTTATCTAAAGCAAAGATCTCCCAAACTTACTTGAGGCTGGCGAAAGCTGCAGCCGTATGGTAAATTGTCGGTCAGGATCTGAGCAAGAATGGCCATACGTTTCTGGAAAAAGAAAAAAAAAGGGACTTTATCGATGAACATAACTAAAAGCTTCTCAAAGAAAGAAACATTCAGTGCAAAACCAACGTAGAGATAACCTTGGCAGACGGTAGATCGTGACCTCAGTGCTTTCTTGTCGCATCTCAGACAATAGATCGCGACCTCAGTGCTTTCTTGTCGTATCTCCATTGTCAATAACAGTGAAAACAGTTCTTAACAAAGAGTGAGCTTTCATAATAAAGAGTGAGCTTTCTTAACAAAGAGTGAGCTTTCATAATAAAGAGTGAAACAGAACAC